GTGGAGCTTCCATTTTAGTTTCAAGGAGTAGACAATGAATAAAGGAAATAAATAAGTAAGCTACGGAAATTTGCTAAGTTCTACAGAGGAAAATAGGCGGACAAAAATACAGAGTCTGAGGGTTGGGCGGGGGGGTTGGAGGGTGACTTGTGGTTTAGGATAGATTGGTCAGGAAAGTCCATTGTTCAAATTTCAGCAATTTAAGCAAAGGCCAGGGGACAACAAGCGTGCAGAGTGTGTGGACTGTGGTTGTGCAGGGGTGAGGGGGAGAGCAGCTGCCTACCTGAGGGTGATGAGTGCTGAGACAGGCCTTCAAAATGCTGTAGGGATTGCTGGGTGGGAGTCACTGTGAGTGAGTAGGGGCAACTGCAGTGTGGAGAGAGCAGTGATGGTGTGTGATTTAGGTTTTCTTGGTTATGTTTAAGGCTTGATCATTTATTTGGAAAGCAGAATGACAGAAAGGGAGGGTGGGAGAGAGAGAGAAGAGAGTCTGTGAGCAAGCAATCTGCCATCTGCTGGTTCGTTTCCCAAAAGCCTGCAATGACCAGAACTGAGCCAGGAGACCTGGAACTCCATCCAGATCTCCCATACGGGTGGCAGGACCCAAGTACTGGATCTGTCATCAGAGCCTTTCAGGCACATTAACAAAAATGTTGGAATGTAAGCTCAGAGCAGTGGGGACTTGAGCCAGGTTTGGGATGCAGGCATCCTTCTGTGCACCACATTGGCCACCCTGACTTGGTTTTCTAACAAGGTCATGCTGGCTGACATGAAGAGAGCATCCTAGTAGGCCACTAAGGGGCTGTTTGTGAGCTTGTGCTAGTAGGGACAGCCACATGAAGTGCTGTTACTCTCCACGTAAAGGGGAGTGTGCTTTGTGAGCTTCTGCTAATAGGCACAGCCATATGAAGTGCTGTTACTCTCCATGTAAAGGGGAGTGTGCTTTGCTGTGAAAAAGAAGTCAAGAGTTACATGAGGCTCTGATCCTTGAAGGATTTTGTGGCCAGCAGTGATAGGACACGATGGCAGAGGGTTTCTGTCATTGTCAATGGGAAAATCTCTACAAAGGTGGGAACAGGAGCAAGCAGGCCTGGGCAGGGCATGTTAGTTGGCATATTGTTTTAGATGGAGAATTGAGCTTTTGTTTCATGAATGCAGATGGCTTTGGAGGGAACTTGGAGGAGTCCTGCAGAGCAAGTGTGTCTGGTTTTTATCCCGAAAGACCAGTTCCTTGCTTTGTCCTGCATTGGCTTGCCTTGCCTTGCTTTGCCTTCCCTTCTTCCCTACTCTTACAGTCAGCACCATCTATTTCCCAGTGGCTTAGCTGAAGAAACATCTCCCTCACTTCTTTTGTACATGGAACACCATCTGGGTTGACAGTGGAACCTTGTCCTGTGGCCAGTGTAGTCAAGGCTGGCACAGATCCACTTCCTGTTTGCTTTCTGATACCATGCTAGTACCCAAGCAGAAGCTGGGGAAGGGTCTCTTTCTGTGCCTGTTGATCTTGGAATGACTTTCTGATAGTAGGTATCCAAGAAATGATGGCGGCTCAGGTTCATCAGGAGCATGTGATGTAGTTTAAACTTCTGGGATATAGACGTTGGTGTACACAGAGTGTTGTGGCTAAGTATTCACCACTAGCCTTGTTCTTGGCAATGCAGACATCCGGAGCAATGGTGTGTGTGTTCCGCTGTGTGGGACTTCACAGCTTTTCTCATGCCTGCTGTGTGTGCTGGTCCTCTGCTCAGCCTCACTCTGGTGACCCTCTGCTATTTCAATCTTAGTTCTTGTCAGTGAAACATGAACCATGTTGTTTTGCATTGAAGAGACTTTTTTGGTTGCGGGGAAGTGGCAGACTGAATTTTATGGCAGCAGATATTCTCAGTAGAACTTGCCAGAAAGTCCATGTGAAGTGAAAACTTAGGGTACCCTGATATCAAATTCTGGTTTAAGACAAATGTGAGCTGTGTGTAAACCAGGGCATTGTAAATATGTGTGTTGCAGCTCAGGCTCTGTTATTTTACATTTTGGCCTGATGTGCTCAAAAACAATTATTGCCAGAGGGAAGCTTAGCTGAGAGATCAAGCCTAGGCAAACAAAGAGGCAGAGTGAGTGGAGAGGGTCCCCAGTGGGAGTCTGTTGAGTGACTGGTTGGATAAGGAGCCAGGACCTTTGCTGTGCTCTTCCCTTTCTGTACTACTGTCTATTGTTGACTTTGTTCTCCCCAGCTCCCGACGTTCAACAGGGCTGCTTTTCATGATCTGGTTTTCTTTCTAGTGTAAATCTTTACAGCCTCATATTGTTCTTCATGATACCTGTTTCACCTGTTTCATATTTATCTGACTCCTTCCTTTTTTTCTCGAGGATCTATTTTTATTGGAAAGACAGATCAGAGTTTTGAACAGATAGGAAGATGTTCTGGTTCACTCCCCAAATGGCCGCAACAGCCAGAGCTGAGCTGATCAGAAGGCATGAGCCAGGTACCTCCTTTGGGCTCCCATGTTGGTACTGGATCCTAAGATTTTGGGTCATCCTCTACAAGCAGGGAGCTGGATGGGAAGTGGAGCAGCTGGGACATGAACTGACACCCACATGGGATGTCAGTGCTTGGAGGTGGAGGATTAGCCAGTTGAGTCATGTTGGCCTCTCTCTGACTTATTCTTTAATGTGCTATGAACTTCATGAGGCCAGAGAGAATTTCATGATTTTGTTTGGTGTGGTTGCATTGTCACTTCCCCAAAACAATGCTTACATGTTGGAAAATATATATGCTTAATGAATACTGGTTTTATGAAGGATTCTTGAAGGAATTGAGTTTGAGAAGATTTGTGTCCTGGTTTCAGTCATATGCCTAAGGAGTCAAGCAACCAATGATGAGTGAAAGAGGGAGACTGAGGTAGTCAGAGCAGCTCTGGGCACCTGATTCAAAAATGCTGGGGAGCTGGTAAAATGGCTCAGCTGGCTAATCCTCTGCCTTCAAGTGCTGGCATCCCATATGGGTGCTGGTTCATATACTGGTTGCTCCAGTTCTAATCCAGCTTCCTGCTATGGCCTAGGTAAGCAGCAGAGGATAGCTCAAGTCCTTGGGACCCTGCATCCATGTGGGAGGCCTGGAAGAAGCTCCTGGCTTCTGCCTTTGTAGCCATTTGGGGGAGTGACCCAGAGAATGGATGATCTTTCTGACTCTCTTTCTGTAAATTTGCCTTTCCAATAAGAATAAGTAAATATTTTAAGAAAAGAAAGTGCTGACAAGTGCGTGTGTGGCGGAGGTCCTGCTGCTTCTCCAAGGCTAGTCCAGTTCTTCTGACTGCAGGACTGTGGGTTTGGACTCAGGCAGCTATGAAGGCTCCCTAGGGAGCTGGGTTTTCGGAGCCAAGAAGCAGAAGGAGATTGCTGTAGAATGTGGTGCTCCACAGCTGGCTTCTCAGTGGAGGAAGGAAGTTTTCTGTTAGGATGGGTTTGGAAGAAACTGACAGCTGAGGGGAGGCTACAGGCTGTGTTCACAGGTGAGCTGCATGAAGCTGGGTGCTGGGACAGGTGTCCTAGGAGGTGCAGTTCTTGAAAACTAGATGAAGAGTAGCATACATTTCAGAAATCTAAGTCTGCCATGAGTTCACAGAGTGGTGACAGGAAGAGGAAATCGTGAAGGGAGGTGGCAGTGGGTTGAGGGGTTGAGTGGGAGGTGAGAAAGGGAAGCCTGTAAATGGAGATTTTTCTTAAGAGGAGATTTGGAGAGGGAGAGGAGGAGAGGGAGGGGAAACAGAGATGAAGAGAGGGAGGAAGACAGGGAGGGAGGGGGAAGGAGAGAGGGAGATGGTGGAAGAGAGAGAGAGAGAGGGAGGGAGAAGAGAGGGGGAGGGAGAGGAAAGGAGAAAGGGGTAAGGGGAGAGGGAGGAACAGAGGGAGAGGGAGCTACAGAGATGGAGACTGAGACTGGAAGAGAAGCAAAATCAGGGGAAATACCAGAACTAGAAAATGGAGTGGGCTTTTACTTTGCCTGTGGGGGGGTCCCTTCTTTTGAGATAAGGGAAGACTCCCTGTTTCTGAGGTGGAAGTGGTGCTGGGCAGGTAAGGTGTTGCCAGGTTAGGGGGCAGGAAGAGTCCTCCTGCCCCAGTGAGGAGGCTGTGTGGGGTTTACGTTTTGCTCTGGAGATGCGTGTGGGCCGCAGTCCTGAGGTGCAGCTCCACTTCCGCCTTTATCACAGATCTTATTAACAGGTGTTGCAGAAGTATTCTGGGAAAGATTGGGGCACAGCTTCTCCTGCTTTTTCCTCTGACTTGAAAACTCAGCCGAAGCCCCAGGCACTCCTGAGATCTGGGAGAGAAAGAATTCTTTAAAATGATGCCAGGAAGGGTGTTGTAGACCTGGGGCAATCCAGCAGCCATTGCTTTCTGCACAGAATCCTGGGTTGACTAAAAGCCCAAGGCCAGTGTCACCAAGTCTTGATACCTTTGAGTCAGAAAATTGTGTCTGAAGTGGTTCTGAAAGTAATGGATCAGCCGCAAAGTAGCATGAAATGTTAGAAAACTACTGCAGAGATGGAATAATATCTTTGGAATGTGGTAATATCCTACGTTTATGAGCAGTTTCAGAGTTAAAAGAGAGATATATATATTCACGTTACCAGGCCATTGCTATTTTTCTCTATCAGTGAATCTCACTCTAAGGTCTTTTCAGAGCATCAACAAATCTGTTTCAAATGTGTTTGTTACTAAGCAACGGTTACCAAGAGCTTCTGTAATTAAGATGAAAGTTCCAAGGTAACAATGCCCTAGCATAGCACCATTTTCCCCATTTTCTGATGATGTAGGAGTGAGCTGAATAAAGGAAGACTTCTCTTGAGAACTCAACATCTGGCATTTATGGGTGTGTTGGCTGTTCTGTAGCTGGTCTGAGACACAGTGTTTGTGTTTTCCAAACCAGCAGTCCTCCGCCTGTGCTTGTGAAATGTGTATTCCAGGCATGGCCAGGTAGTCTGTGTTGGAGGCAGGCTTCCTGATGAGCTGTGTGGTGGTGGGAGCCACGTTGGTAACAGGATGGTGTTGTGCCACCTGCCAGGTGCAGCCATCGCAGGGTGGCTGGAGTATGCACCACATAGGATCAGTTCCTTTACAGTTTTTAATGACCTAGATTAAGCGCCCACACAGACCTGTTCTAGACTTTGTCTAACAATACAGTTGCTTTTTCTCTTAGTGATTTGTGAAGGAAGATTCAGATGCATTTTTTCCCCTATTCATCCAGCCTGGCTCATTGCAGGCACTTAACAAATGCTCCTCTTTCCCTCGCTGCTCTGTTTTGCTCCTGAGGCAAGAGGAGAGGTTCGGGTTTCCATGACAACCTGTTGTTGAATGACCTCCTTTCAGACCTGTTGTTAGATGTCCCATGCTTCTGAGTTGCGGTCCAGGGGGCCAGGCCTCACCTAACGGAGGGCTTTTCTGTTGAAAGATTGACTCAGGCAGAGTCAATCTTTTGAAGAGTCAGGGACCCTTCAGCTGCCTACCAGCTTGGTGTGTCCCTAGAGGACTTGCCTCCTGGGTTAGACCTCTGCCAGGAGAGTGGATTGAGTTCCATTTGGGCTCCCCATGTTCGGCTTGTGTTCTTGGGTAGGTCAGAATGACTTTAAACTTGAATTTCCTTCCCTTCTCATTGGGAACATATATGCTTGGATCATACAGTAGGATTGTTATAAATGTTTGGTAAGATAGAATATATGAAGTGCTGTAGAAAGATTTATTCAAGAACCATTTGCCAAGCAGCTGCTGTGTCAGGTACTGTTCAAGTTTCATGTTTGATCCCAGGTCAAAACAGAAATGTATCTATTCCATTTTTTTTTCAAAGGCAGTTTAATATTCCTTAGATCAGGTGTTTCAGGATTTCTTGGACGCTGCCTAACTCTCCATCTGAAAGGCAACAGCAGCCTTCCTTCCAAACAGTATGTAGAATACCCATCTTTTCACACCTTTGCAATTATACTCTCCAAATTTTTCAGTTGGTTGGATGAAAAATAGCATCTAACAGTTGTGTTATTTTCAACTCCTTGCTCAGTATTTCTGCCCATTTTTACTTCTGTGACTAGCCTTTTTTTTATATGAAAGAGTGAGAAAGTCAGGGAGAAGCAAATCTTTTATTTGTTGATCTACTCCCCAGATGCCTGTAACAGCTGGGTATAGGGCAAGCAAAAGCCAGGGACCAGGGATTCGGTCTGTCTCTCTCACATCCCAGCCTGTGTGCCGTCATCTGGGAAGCTGGGTCAGAAGGGAGCAATGATGATGTGACTCGGGCGCCCCAAGGAGAGATGGGAAAGCTCTGAGGAGCACTTAACGTGCTGTGCCACAGTGCCCACCCCTGTGACTCGCCTTGAACTGCTGAGAGTTGGATTTTCATTTTACTGTTTTGAAGGGGATTTTTGTGAATTAAAATGTGTATGTGTTTTTCTTGAGACAAGAGATCTGATATTAACCACTATTTTACAGAGGCTTTGAGAGGGCATGAAATAGTTGCAGGTAGTCAGTGAATGGTGGGACTTGGATTGGAACCTGGCTCCTAGTCGGCTTCTGCTGGTGGAGAGTGCTCTCTGGGAGTCTCCGCAGCCAGGGAGGGAGCTGATGGCTGGAAGGAGCATCTGGGAAGACCTTGCTCATACAGGGGAAACAGTGCCCAACATGCAACAACGCTTTTTAGCCTAACTTGCAGAAATTTTCTAATCCTGGGGAAAGTACAGGTGGCTAGGGGCATGCTTGTGGCTTTCTTCCTGAGAGGAGATCAAGAGTATCCGTTCTTTCTGTAGGGTGCCTCCTTCCTGCCTTCCGTGGGCTCAAGGAAGTGACAGGGCTGCCTCTGTGTGCTCCTCAATTTCCCAAGAAAAAGGAAGTAAGCACACTTCCCCCCTTGGTGCCTTATTTGAATAATCATGTTTTTTAAAAATTAAATAATTGTAATTTTCCTCATCTCTCTCTCTCTCTCTTTCTCTCTCTCTCTCTCTATATATATATGTACAAGAGAGTTAAAGTTTTTCTGAAATTAGCTTATTTCAGGGTTTTTAATGTGTTGCCCTGATGTGGTTTATGTGTATATAGTGAGGCCAAGTCTTAGGGTAGATACTCCAGAATTTTTTCTTTCAAGATTGGAAATAATCTTAGGGTCTGTCTGTTCTAAATCACTCATTGAGCACATGAGAAATTGGGATCTGGACACCTGGTTCTGGGTTTGTTGAACTTATCCAGTAATTCCTGATCAAAGAGAGAGCTTTGGGATCTGAAACTCCAGTAAGACTTCTGATTGTGCTATCTGATACCATTCTGACGTTTATCTGTTCCCACACCACTCCCCACATTTCTTACCCTGAAAATGAGGCTGGTTGTGGTTATTTCACTGAGCTGTTGTAATGCAGTTAATAGGACATTTTTAAAGTTTGAATTTTTAGCTGTTTGTACCTTCTGACAGCCCCACATAGCTTCACAGTGTGCTTACAATATGCTTGGTTGGTGCCTGTTGCATGAAGGAAAGGACAAGGTAATTGATAAGTATTTCCATGCATCAATCACACACAGCTGTGCAAGTGTTCACATACATACTCCTGACAAGGTTCTGTGGTCCACCCCCCGTTTTTAGGCACTGGGAATATTTGAAATGTCATAGGAAATAGTACTTCCACGATCTTAAAGATTTTAGAGCAGGGGATATTAAAATTCTCCTTAGATATTCATTTTGATTTTTCTTTTAAAGGCTTATGTATTTGAAAATCAGAACTATAATGAGAGTGAGAAGGAAGGAGGAAAGGAGAGGGAGGGAAGGAGAGAGAGAGAAAAAAAGAGAGAAAGAGAGAGAGAGAAGCAAGAATGATATCTTCTACCTGGCGGTTTACTTCCGAAATGGCTTCAGCAACTTGGTCTGGGTGAGGCCAAAGCCAGGTTAGGGTCGCCCATGTAGATAGCAGGGTCCAAGCACTTGAGCCATCTTCTGTTGGTTTCTCAGGAGTGTAACAGGGAATCAGAAACAGAACAGCTAGGACTCCAACTGGCATCCCAGAGGCACATACAGTGGTTTTATCCACATGCTAGTCCCTCATTTTGATTTTTAGTCCTTGATGCTCTTAGAACATTTCTTGTCTACTTCTGGCGTATTTTCCAGTTGTTGTTAATATGTGTTTTCTCATGTTCTGTCCAGAGTACCCTCACCAGGGCAGGCAGTCAGACCACTGGTGTGGTGCCACCCAGTGTAGCCAGACAGCTAGGCTGAAGTCTGTGTGATTAGGAACACAGGATGGCTCAGGTCGTGCTCAGAGTGGGGGATGGTACCAACCCCAGGGGGAAACCGTAAATATTTTTTGACTGTTTAGCTGTCTTGCTGGGCATATTTTAAGTCTGTGGGTCAGGAACACCAGCAAAAGGGATGGGATGCTTCCTAATAGTGGGTTATTTTCCAAGAAGAATGCTAAGAGAGTTGTCATCCCTTTGAGTTTCTGAATGAATGAGGTCTTTTGTCCTGTTACAAAGAGTGATTCAGAGTCCTTGGTCCTGGCTGGAGTGGCTGTGAGGATAGCAGGGGCAGGGCTGCCTTTCACCTAGACTTGCTTGGTATTAGACCAAGATTTTCCAAAAGAGGAGTCTACTGGAGGGATTGTGATGAGTGGGGCAGCGGTCCTGGACCCTGGTACCATACCAAGTACACTTTGGGGCAGACATTGCTTTGAGCATCCTTCATTCAAAGGGGAATACTGACTTTGGGTGCAAAGAAGACGAAATCCTAACATACTTGAAATAATACTTTCTTGCTCTTGTAAAGAATGTGAAATTTCCCTCTGATTCATTTTATTCAGTCCTGTCCCTTTATCCTACATTATTTTCTTTTCTACTTTTATTTATCTATATGCTTTTCTGTCAGTGGATGATTTTGAGTGCCAAAAAATGGACCTTTAAAAATTAGTAATTATTCTTCCTTTTTAAAAAAATGGAATTATTTTTATTGGAAAGGCAGATTTACATAGAGAAGGAGAGACAGAGGGAGAGAGATCCTCCATCTGCTGGTTCACTTCCCAAATGGCTACAGTGGCCGGAGTGGAGCACGTCCAAAGCCAAGAACCAGGAGCTTACTCTGGGTCTCCCACATGGGTGCAGGGACTCAAGGACTAGATTCATCCTCTGTTGTCCTCGCAGGCCACAGGCAGGGAGCAGGATCACAAGTGGAGCAGCTGGCCCATGAACTAGCGCCCACCTGTATGGGCTGCTGCTGCTGAAGGCAGGGGGCTTAGCCTACTGTGCTATAGTGTTGGCCCATATGATTCTTCTTTCTTTTAACTTTCGTTTTAAATATAAACTGTACTTCAAGAAAATTTGCAAGAATATTGCAAAATATTCCTATTTTGCTTTTCACTTAGCTCTCTAAATGATGATGTTTTAGTGTACTTAAAAAATCTTTCTATTATTTTTATATTCCTGTCTTTTTTCCCTGGATTATTGAGATAAGTATAGGTGTGGTATCTCTTGAAGCAAATAATTCATCATATATTTCTGAAAACAGTGACATTTGGCTACGTAAATAGCATATAATTTTCAGAATTGGGAAATTAACATTGAAATGGTGGTGTTACCTATCGACCTCATTCAAATTTCATGAGATAAAACAATAAAGTCATTTTTGTCTAAAGAAAATCCCAGATTATGTGGTTAGCTGAATTATATTCGTTGGTAATTGTTAATATGAACCAGTTTTTTTTTTTCTGGCAGTAACATTTTAAAGTATTAGAGATCTTTTTTTATTAGAATACTCAATTTTATATTTATTCATGATTGGATTAACGTACAGATTTGGTAGGACTGAAATTAAAGCTTAATTTTACATTTTAATTTTATTACATTATTTTACCTTTAATGTCTTGTTAATCTCTGTATGGATTTAGTAAATACTGTGGAAAGTAATAACAGTTTCTGGGTGTTTGGTTTAAATAACTGTCAATAAATTCAAGTTGAACTGATTAAATTCCCACTGATCTAGTTAGTTTGTAACTTGATCACATCTGCTTAAACATTTAAAGTAGTATTTGTGACTTAATGAGAGTACTTTAAAGAGTTTATGGAAAATAGAATTAAAAGCATAAGCATATTATGTTATGAAATATTGTAATCTATGTGTAGTTTCTTCATGGAACACATTTACTATGCACTTTCCAAAGTATTATCTATCTATCTATCTATCTATCTATCTAATATATGTATATATTTTTAAAATTTTTGTACCAAAATAAACTTTTCATTTTATATTTCACAAACACTTCCAAATTACCCTTTTATATTCAATATTGTTTTTAATCACTTCAGATGCCTGATAGATCACGCCTGGAGATCTTGGAATACACTTGCGTAAACAATTAAATAATTCTCCTAGATTAAAACTTAAACTTTTAAACTCAGTAGATATCTCATTCTCCTAAAATTATAATGTTGTTTGAATACACTTTTATTTCCTTGTTTTACTCAAGTGCAAATCTAAAATCACGACACGGCACATTTTTGAAGACATTAGCTTCTCAAAAGTTCTGTATATTTTAGTATCTAATTTACAAAGATTATTCTGAACTTCACACAGTTATTCATCCTCGGCTCTTGTTTATTTCCGTGTGTCTCGATTTAAATCTGTGGCTTTCAGAGTCGGGATGCTTGCTTCCTTCGGGGAGGTGGGTGAGCTTGCTAAGGGGACTAGGTGGTGATATGCTCCTCTGGACAGATTGGGAACTGAGGAGGCATACGTCTTCTTTTTCAGCTACAGAGAAATCCATTTTATAATCGCTATGGCAGCACAAGAGTAATCCCTGTGTAGTTGCTATAACAACCAATAGCACTTCACACCCTTCATACCCTTGGTCCCCTGGGTTGACCTCCTTATGTCTTCCTTTCCTCTGATTGTGCTAGACAGACCGCTGTGTCCTCATCCAGGGTGTAGTTGCTTCTCTACTTGATCATAGTCTGTTTTTTTTTTTTTTTTAAAGCTTTTAGCTGTATTACATAGTTATTTTATCTTCATCTGATGGGATTTTAAACGTTCTTTTTTAAAAGTGTTGGCTACAACTCTAAGGCTTCATGCTAATGAAAATGCCTTTCTCTAATTTTTTTTATGTTCCTTTGAATTACAGCCTTTGAACTTGACTTAAATGCCTGTAGAGAGTTCCACTGCTGTATAACTTGATTATGAACATTCCCAGGCCAGTCACAGGTCTTAGCATCTGAGAGGTCTGTGAGTACATCGTGGCTAGGGGTGACTGTGTTTACCTTTGAATTTTGCTGCTGACTTATTTTCAGATAGATCTGAAGGCTAACTCACAGTTGTAAAGAGAGACTCCAAACAGGAATAGATCATGTGTAGGAATATCATGAAGTCACAAATGACTGCCACTTATTATCATGTGCTCTTTCCATTGGGTAATTTGGTTTTATTTTTGCTTACTCAGTATCTGGGAAAATAGCAGTCACTTTCTGGTTTCATGGCAGGTATTCTGTCCTATAAATGTCCTTTTCTAGTGATTTTTCTTTAGTAAATGTTTTAGAATCAGTGGATCTGCGTTCCATTCATAGTTCAGGAGTTTGTGGGCTCTGTGACCCTGGGAAAGCTATGGAACTTGTCCTGTGGTAATGCTGACTTGGTAGTGGACATGGGGCTTGGCGAGATGTTCATTGCTGAACACCTGCTATAGCATCTTGAGCAAGTGGTCATGGAATTGTAGGGATGGTTATTCACCCTAGACATCCTTGTGTTCTGGTGCTCATCCCTTGTCCCTGGTCTGGCTAGCCTTCTCCTCCGACGTGGTGCTGAACTCGAAGCTTTCTCTTAGTTCTCCTGTAAAGTGTGCACTGCTTCTGTTCAGTTGAAATGAGGACACTCTAGTGAGTTCATGGAAGGAGCTGACAGCCTGACAGTGAAGACACTTTTGTCCCATATCTGAATGCCAGAGTCTTGTACCTGACTCTGGTTCCTGATTTTAGCTTCCTGCTAATGCAGACTGAATCAAAAAATCTGGTTCTTGCCACACCGCTGAGAGCTATGGACAGAATTCCCAGTTCTGGCTTTGACTCAGCTCTGACCATTGCGGGCATTTGGAGAGAGATATATTAAATAGGAGTTTGTATTATCTCTCTATTTCTCTCAAATAAATAAAAAAAGACATTAAAGAAAAAAGAATTAAAAGATAATATAATTTCCATGAACTTTTAAAAGTACTCTTATTTCTTCCACTTTGTAATCATGGTCAGTTTGTTCCAAGGATTTTTTTCTCTTTGTCTTTTATTTATTTATTTATTTATTTATTTGAAAGTCAGATATACAGAGAGGAAGAGAGACAGAGAGGAAGATCTCCCATCCACTGATTCACTCCCCAAGTGGCTACAATGGCTGGAGCTGTGCTATCCGAAGCCAGGAGCCAGGAGCTTCCTCTGGATTTCCCGCGCAGGTGCAGGGTCTCAAGGTTTTGGGTCGTCCCCCTCTGCTTTCCTAGGCTACAAGCAGGGAACTGGATGGGAAGCAGGATTCCGGGATTAGAACCAGCGTCCATATCAGATGCTAGTGCGTGCAAGGCGAGGACTTTGGCCACTGGGCTAGTGCACCAGGCCCTTCTCTGTGTCTCTTAAATGAGCTGCTGCATTTACCTTCTGGACCATCACATGGTGAACTCAGTAGGAGGCCAAGGACTACTGAGCTTGTCCCTCGGAATACCATCACTTGTATGTTCCCCCACTACCTGGTCTTGGAAATTCCTGGCAGAAAATGGGTACACTTTGCAAGTGTTTGGTGTGACTTGAATAATTCTTCCAATTGCCCTGGTAATGTGAGCCTGATTTGGTTTCCACTGTTTAAACAGGCCAACTTAGTGGGGGCTTCTTATCTTGTCGTTTCTGTTATAGTGGTCATCACCCTGTTGGAGGGGGGCTGGCGATGAGGAGCTGCCCGACCCCTGATCATTAGAAATCATGACACCCATCATCCCCCATGCTCATCTCCTTTCCACCATCAGTTACACTTGTGCTTGTATGGCAGCACCTGGAGAAAGTGGCCAGGCAGGTAGTGAGCTCAGTGCTACGGAAAGAGAGGCAAAGACAGAGCAAGCGAGAGTGCAGTGTGAGAGGGATCTTCGGTTTGATGGTTCACTTTCTAAATGCCTGTAAGAGCCAGGCTGGGCCACAGTGAGGCCAGGAGTTAGGGACTCCATCCTGGTCTCCCCCAGCAGGGGCAAGGGCCCAACTACTTGCAGCATCTTCTGTCTCAGTGGAATTTTCACGGAGCTGCATTGGAAACAGAGCACCCTCCCCCCACACCCGCACCAAGGTTCCACTGGCAGCCTGCCATGACAGGTCCCTAATCCTGCTTCCAGGGTCCTTAGAAGTCATCATCATCACAAATATCAAGGTACACATCGAAAGCCTCTCAATTGCAGTTTCCATCTTGGGTGAAGACGTGTTTGTGGAAGGTCCCACCGACACAAATGGCAGAGACGGAGTTTACACTCTTGAAAGCACAGATGCAGGCACGGTGAAGCTCACCAGGCTCCACTGGGAATCCCCGGACTGTCCAATCATAGGCCGTACTTTGCCCACGTGAGCCAGCCTGCTACAGTACTGGCCAAGTCCAGGTGTGGTATATAATAGGGGCATAGAGCCATGGCAGCCGGGGCAGGGAATACTCATGCAGAGCGGCGGTTGAGAGGAGTGTCCTTGAGAGCAAATGTATGAACTGGGCCCTTATCGCTGGAAGCGCACAGGAAGGACAAGTCGTGGCTGAAGTTAATGCAGTAAAGGGTGGCAGGGTCCGTGCCTTGTCACGGCTCTACCAGTTTCTCCTTGGACTGGGTGTCAAAAAGGAGAATGAGGGTGCCTTTCTGGGAGGTTGAGGCCACCACGTTCCCTAGCTGGTTCAATGACACGCAAGCCACATCACTGATGTGCATTAATGGTGAAAGGAGCTGATGATGTGCCAGGCTTTGTGCTTGCTGGGTCCACAAGTTGTAGGCTGCCACACTTGTTTGCTGGGAACACGAGCAGCTGTTTCTGGAGGCTGGGGCAGAGGTTGCAGAGCCCCTTGAGGTTGTCCTGGGTGTCAAATTCAAACAGCTTTCGTGGGTTGTTGGGGAAGGAGTACACATAGATGCGGTTCCTCAGCGCGAGCACGAGCTTGTCATGCGCATGTGCACAGCCAGCATGGGCTTGGTAAAGGTGAACTCTACTACGGGCTTGTCTTTGGAGTCCTTGCCCTCCCGGACATCATCCCAGATCAGCACAAAGGCTCACTCAGATGTCCCTTTTCCATCAATGGCTCCACATTGTAGATGTGTGCACCTGTCTCCATGGCACAGCAAAAGCAGCTTTGATCCTGGTTGAATCGCACGCTGGTCACTCCTCGAAGTGGCAGCTGAGCCATTTTCCAGGTTTGCCCCCTGGGATTGTGTTCCAACTCCAGTCTGTTTCTCCCTTGTGATCTCTCTCCCCCTGTCAAGCCCGGTTCTTGGTGGCGCCCGTGGCCGGGCTTCCCTGACCTCCAGGGTCTCAGCGCCCCTCGAGACATTGAGTCTTAAAGCAGCCATGTGGGAGGGTAAGGATGGAGCAGACCAGAAGACAGCCGGTAAGGTGGTCCTGGTGGAGCAGCCCTGTGGCCTCACTGCCTGCCATGGTTTTACAAGTTCGTTTGCTAAGAGAAACCCTAGTATATTCTTTCCAAATTTACATTGGAAGAGGAAAGCGTGTTTTCTTGAGTGAGGGACATCTGTGGGTTGGGATTCAGACTGTTTGCTCTCAGTTTGGGCTCTGGGCTGAAATAGGTGCTGAGACAGACAAGGCTCTGTGACAGCTGGAGTGACTCAGCAGAAGTGTCCAAGGAGGAAATGGATGGGGCTTCTGGGATGTGGATAAAGGAGCACCGGGCTCATGGTCAAGCTGAGCTTTGCCATTCTTGGACTTTAAAAGAGGCATGAAAGACTAAAATAAGTATGTGTCTGTATGCAGGTAAGAAATACACCACGAGAGGGACCTTTATGGGGAATATTGACTCTGGTGGAATTCCTCTGGGTGAACACAGTTCAATGTTTGTCAGAACTTAGCACCCTGAGCCGGCTTCCATTCCAAGAGGTTCTCCCTCTAACTGTAATTGGTACTTATGAATACTAAGGTTATTTGCATTTGCTAAATGCATACAGATTAATGGCATCAGTGTAAGAAGAGGAAAATCACCTTGGAAAATAAATTTGTCCAAATTGTGGTAACTAGAGGCTGATGGTGAACAACAGAGCCCTTGGAAGCGATTTAAAGTTGTTTATGATGTGGGCTTATGAGAACTAAATGGTGTTGTCCAAAACTCATGAAATGGTAGAAAATTCTGGAAATGAACAAGACTGAGAGAACCAACCCTGCCCCTCTAACATACTGTCAGATATTTCTTACATGGTTACCAAATGATTTGGAAACAGAATCACTGCAGGGTCAAACAACTGGGCCTGACAGAGCAGCTCTAGATCCAGGGCAGCACAACATCGGTTGGTGACATTGAAATTTGCTTTTTGTTTGTTTGTTTGCTTGTCTGTAGCATCAGTAATTTGCATCTGTTTAGAATTTGTCTTAGGTAACTGTACAGGTATGTGGAAAGCAAGACAAAGACCCTGGTTTGTACACAGGACAGAAATGGCCTCCAATATCAAGTGATCTCCAACAGGAGTCTTTAGGCTCTGAGATTCCAGGGAGTCACATGGGAGAATCAGAGATTTTGCCAAGGCAGTCACCTCACTTGTGTGTTTTCCTTTGTTTTAAGAAAACATTTATTGATTTGTTTTGGAAGGGAGGGAGGTGGGAAAGGAGATGAGATAGACATGGATGGATGGATGGATGGATGGATGGATGGATGGATGGATGGATGGAGAAAGAAATATCTCTCTTCTGTTGGTTCATTCCTAAATGCCTGATACAGTTGGGCTATATCAGGTCAAGGCCAAGACCGTGAAGCTCCATCTGTGGCTCCCTCATGGGTGGCCAGGAACCATCTGCTGCCTCTCTAGGTGTATTCGCAGGGACCTGGATTAGAAGCAGAGAAGCCAGCCCTTGAAGCAGCACTCCCAAGCAATGACTTACATATCTTGCTGTCCCACAAGGCCTGCCCCAATTCTGTTCTTATTTCTTTGAAACTGTACCCCTAGGGTTAACATGGCACTAGTATGTATTGGGTGAGCACAACCGTGACAAACTTAATTCATGTGTTAACCTCAAAATCCTTACAATTCTGTGACTGTGCTATTTTTTCTGTCCTCATGGTAAGATGCACAAAGAACCTGGTTCAACATCACAGCTTCTAAGTAGTGAAAGATAGACTCTGGCATCAAAATTCACATCCTTCACCCCGCCTTCTGCACCTCAGTGATAGGAGACCACAGAGTAATTATAACAGGTTACATTTTATCCATGAGGAACAACCTTCATGTCCTGGCCTCCTGAAACATGGTACTTTCTTCTTTGTATAATTTAACCAGAAATTTAATTTTGTTAAAAAACTTAAAGTTGTGATTTCCATTGAAATGGCATGAGGACAGCAACTTCACAAAATTGTTCTGAAGACATTACCCAAACACCTGGCAAAAGAATGAAGTTGGACTCCTTCCTCACATCAGATAAAAAGTTGCACAAAGTGGATCACAGACTGAAATATAAGAGCCAAAAATATAAAAATCTTAAAAGAACCCAGAGGCATAAATCTTTGTAACCTTGGATTAGGTGTAGTTTCATATATCACATTTAAAGCACAAACAGCAACCACCACAACAAACCAGACCTTATCAAACTTTAAAACCACCTGCCTGAACTCAGGTGCTTGGGTCCCCTGCCAGCTGCATGGAAGACCTAGATTGAGTTTCAGCTCTTGACTTTGGTGGGTCCAGCCCTGGCTTTTGTTAACATCAGTTAAATGAAGCAGCATATGGAAGAATACAGAGTAGTTACACCTGAATATTTAAGTGACAAACATCCCAATTAAAAATAGGCAAAGATTTGAACAGACATTTTTTTGAAGATGTCCAAACAATCATTAAATACTTGAAAAGTTGCCCAGAGCCATTTGTCCTTATGGAAATGCTAATCAAAGCTACATGGAGACACTGCTTGACACCTACTGGAATGGATAGAGTGAAAAAATACTCATGGCAACGATTGTTGGTGATGAGGTGTAGAAATTGGGACACATGGGCATTGCTGGTGAGAATATCAGATGGTACAGTAGCTTTGGAACAGCCCGACAGTTCCTCAGAAAAACTCAACGTAGGATTATCATACATTCCACAGATTCACTCCTTGGAATATACCCAAGATAACTGAAAATATATATCCATTCAAAAACTTGTTTGTAAGTGTTCACAGTAAACAGTTAAAAGCTAGAAGCAATCCAGATGTGTATAATTGATGAACGAGCAACCAAAATGTGGTATATATAGTGTGGAATGTGACTCACCCCTGAAAAGGAGTGAAATACTAATGCATGATATGACATGATGACTCTTAAAACTATTGGGCTAAAGGAAACGAACTGTACACCAAAGGCCACATGATATATGGTTCCATTTAGGTGAAATGTCCAAGATGGACATATCCAAGGAGACCAAAAGTAGGTTAGTGGTTGTCAGAGGCTCATGGGGAAGAGGGAGAATGAGAAACAGTTGGTTTGGATAAAGAGTTCTTTCTGAGGGATGGAAATGATCTGGTATTATATAGTTTATGGTTGCACAATTTTGAGAATAAACTAAATCCTAAATGACTTAGGTATTTTAAAGATGAACTTTATGATGTTAGGATATGTCCATATAAATCATATGCATGTATTTTTTAAAAATCTATATTTGCCCTTCTAGAAAAAAAGCAGGCACCAGAGTGACCAGTGACCATCCCCAAAAATACAACAGCAGGAAATTTGCCAACTTCATTTTGTACCAAAAAAGATCTTGTCAAATGTGCTTTCCTTTCTTCTTTCTTTCTTCTTATTCTCTCTCTGATACATTGTGACTGGAAGAAATGACTAATTCACTGAGAAGAAAAAGAGTTCATGGAAAATGGAATTAAATGAGTTTGTCCTGGTGCAGGGATATTTAGAAATCCATATATTTCATAATACATAGTCTTGATTAGCTTTTTGAAATTCGTGTGCCTGAATTTCAAAATGTTTTATACGAACACAAATTTTAATTCCATTTTCCATAAGCCTTTTGAATTGGCTTTGTCTGGGTCAGAGACTTCACATGTACTTGTATTACAAAGTGGCAGCATTTGGGGATATTGCTTCTCCCTAGCCTTTATCAATTTTGTTGTAAGCTTTTCTCCAGCAGGGTTGTTTTTGGTTTGGTTTTGTTATTGTGTTGATTTATTTATTTCTACAGAGAAAATTCTCACAGTGAACAGAATACAAGTCTACTGAGACCCAGTCTTGGAGCATGCACATATTGCCACTTTTTCATTTGGGTTTTGGTGCTAGAATAATGCCCGCCTCAGGATGAATTAGCAAATGCTCCCTGTGCTTTTATCCTAGGAAAGAAATGGGGCAGACTCAGTGTAAGTTCTTCCTTAAGTGTTTGATAGAATTCTCCAGTTAACTCACCAGAGCTTGGTGCTTTCTGTTTTGGAGAGCTGATTCATGTCAGATTTAATCTCTCATTGGATGTAGGCCTGTTCTGATTGTGCAGGGGTTGAAAAAGCCACCACTATCCTCTTTGGTTCCTTACTGGCTCTGGGAATTAAGCTGATGTGAGATAGACTAACAGGATAAAAGCTAACTGATTTATTTGAAAGTTCTATGTGGCATGGATGCCCTTGTATGGAAATGAAGAGGGGACGAAGTAGGTGGAACCAATTACTTTCCCACTGGACAAAGAACAAAGAACAATTAATTCTCCAGGGAGCCACAAAAGCACGTGGGGAGGTTTCGAAGATAGAGTTATCTCAGTAAGCTCTGTACAGATTGTGTTCTGATTTCTTGTCCTTGAGGACATAGGGAGGGCAGCTTTCACATGGAGATTTTATCTGCTTTCTAAAAAAATGCTTTCATTTTTAGTAAAAGCAGTCTTTTTGTACTGGCTGTTCTTCATTTAATGTAAATCATCAGTATTCAAGAACAGCCTGTTTTTTAAACTTGCTATCCTTTTCTTCTTGATCAGACTTATCTCTTAAGGAGTTGATCCACTTCATCTGTGCTATGTCTGTTTTTCATTGGCATGGATTTGTTCATAGTGTTCCTTCTTTATCCAAGAGGTGTCTGTGGTGTCTGTAGTGATGGCTCTGTTGTAATTTCTGCTGTTAGTAGTAGGTATTTTCTCTTTTTTTCTTAGCATGGAGATAGATTCAGTGGTTTTATTGATCCTTATGAAGAACTAGTTTTTGGTGTTGTAGACTTTTCTCAGTTATTTTCCATTTCATTTGTTTGTGGTCTGATTTTTGTTTTCTTTTTTATTGCTTGTTT